TTAATCAACTTACTCAAAAAGCAATGGACTCATCTTCATTTAATGGAACGAACTTCTACATATCTCCATCTCAGCAATATGCATTCAAGAATGGCTTTAAGGAAAACCGTTCCATCACTCAAGTTCTCAAATGCAAAACTTTCATTCTATAAATACACTGTCCTTTGACCCCTTGACTTCCGCACTCCCACTAAAGCCATTCTTTGCCCTTACGTCTTGCCACACCCTTTAACTCTAAGTAAAACTAAACTCATTTTTTTCCCCCAAACTCTTTCTCCTGTACTGCGTGGCACTACTAAGTCACATAGTAGTAACAGCTCCAACTACTACAAAACTCACACTTGTTTTAACTAAGACTGCAAGAGTACTTAATATGTAGTCATCCCTAATTGACTTACCTTTCCAGTACCAATAAAAAGCCCCTTTCTCAAAAGATTACCTTACTATTTCATTTAGAAGCCATAACTGCCTCAGCTTCTCAAGATTTACCGGTATCTTTATCCATCTTCTCTCCTTTCCCTATGTCTCACCAAACTGTTCTTTGATGCTATCCCCTCTCTCCCATTTCTACTGGGACCTCACTCCATTATCTCCTACCTGATATACACGCAATCTTTCCTTCTCCACCGGCCCCTTTCCTGCTCCCTACCAACCTGATTTAAGTCTCTCACATTCTTAAAACAAACAAGCCTTTCTACCTAATTTCCTACTCAAGCTTGTTCTAGCAATCTTTCCTTCCCATCTCATTTTATCAGCTTACTTTTGCTGCCCTCATTTCCTCACCACCACTCATTCCTCCGGCCTGTTGAAATTTGGCTTCTGTCTACTACCCTACTAACCATTCTCACTACCAGTAAAAGTGGTCTCCTAATTGCCAAATCCAGCACCCTCATGCTACTTTAGCTCTCTGAAAAGTCTTTTTTTTTTTTTTAACTCTCCTCTCTTTCTTCCCAATCCTGTCACATTCCTAATCTACCTAACTGCTCACTGTATCTCTTCCTCCCGACTTTGAAATTAGTTGTGGCCGGGCACAACGGCTCACACCTGTAACCCCAGCACTTCCAGAGGCCGAGGCAGGCGGATTACCTGAGGTCAGGAGTTCGAGACCGGCCTGGCTAACGTGGTAAAACCCCATTTCTACTAAAAATACAAAAAAATTAGCCAGGCATGGTGGCATGCACCTGTAATCCCAGCCACCCGGGAGTCTGAGGCAGAAGAATCACCTGAACTCGGAAGGCGGGGGTTGCAGTGAGCTGAGATGGCACCATTGCACTCCAGTTTGCACAACAAAAGCAAAACTCCATCTCAAAAAAAAAATGAAAATGAAATTAATTGTATGTAATTTAAGACCATCCTCACTCTTTGATTCGCGGTAGCTTTTAAAAAGTTTTAAATAATAAAAGAAAATAGAAAAAAAAAGACCTTCCTCACTCTATAGTATTTCTGTGGGCATTTCCATTCATTCCAATGACTTCAACTAAGATCTCTGCAAATAATGTAGCTTTATCATAACCAATTGTAAGTTCTCATCTTGAGCCTCAATTATCGTTCATTACACTTCCAAGGCAAAGGAGACATCACCTGGACCTACTGCAACATTTAAGAAAGGTATACCATCAGGGACACTAGTCCCTCAAGATGAAACTGGGGAAGGAAACACACACACACAAAAAAAAAGTAAAAACAAAAAATAAATTAATTAAAATTTTTAAAAAGAAAGAAAGAAAGAAACTGGGGAAGGAGGAGAGTTTCAAAATGAAGCACATTTGATAAATGCTGCATGCTCATTCTCTTGGAGACTTACAATGTATAGCAGCACATCAAAGGCTCTGAAAAATTCTTGCAGTGAAGAAAATTTTCTAACCATAATTATCACATTTATTTGTCCATGGAACCTTTTTTAAATAAGTCCAATTAATGTCCTGTAGCAGTAAATGAAGTTAAAACTATAGATTATGTAATTAGAGACCACATTTTGAATTCTCACACTGTTTCTTACTAGCTATTACTAATCTTTATCCTGCCCCTAAATCCCAGTTTTCTCATCTGCAAATGAAAAACAATTACAAGGCTTTTGTAAATATTGACGTTTGTAAAGTTCTTAGCACAATGCCTGGTGCCTAAGTACTTAAAGAACATATGTATCCTTAACTGCAAATGAGAGTGACACAGATCTCCAAGAATGTTGCCTGAAGCAATCAGCTGCAAACGCTTTCAAATTTACTTGAAGTTTCCGGTTTTCATCAAAAATTCATTTGAAAATTGCAGTTTATGGTTTTAATATAGTTCTGTCATATTTTTGTTGTTAATCGCTTTTAACAGTCATTCTCCCTTGCTCCCACACACTTTATTATTTCATTCAACTTCAGTTAACCTGTCTCTGATGCCAGTCATTTTTTAAAATGTATGACCATAATATACTGCTTTTGGTATATTATAGTTATCAGTTATGTGAGTTACAAATACATGTATTTAGTTTAAACCAGCTGGAATTAGGTTTCTGCTACTTGGAATTGAAAAAGTTGTGAGCAATAATACACTGTGAACATTTTACAGTTCTTCCTCGTTTAGGAGAAGGTTTAGGGCAGACTAATGTAGTCTCACAGAAAAAACTTCCAATTTTGTATTTTATCTTCTCTCTGCTGCTACCCACCTTCCTTCTACCTCTTCTTCCTATTTTATTAATCAAACTCTTCTGTGTACTTGGGAAACTTTGATGACTATAAATGTCACTTCATGGCCAGGTGCAGTCACTCAAGCCTGTAATTCCAGCACTTTAGGAGGCCAAGGCAGGTGTATCACCCACGGTCAAGAGTCCGAGACCAGCCTGGCCAACATGGTGAAACCCCGTCTCTACTAAAAATACAAAAATTAATCAAGTGTGGTGATGGACGCCTGTAATCCCAGCTACTTGGGAGGCTGACGCAGGAGAATCGTTTAAACCTGGAAGTAGGGGGTTGCAGTGAGTAGAGATCACGCCACTGTGTTCCAGCCTGGGTAACAGAGCAAGACTCGGTCTCAAAATAAAATGAAAAAAAAAAAAAGTCACTTCATTTGGGTTCCAGTTGGCAACAACTTACAACGAAATGGCAACTGCATGCATACAACCATTACACAGAATCAACCAACTGATCATGTTATATTTCTGAGAATTTATATCTGGATGTTAAACATACACTATTAAGGAAAGCATAAGAGGCTGTGAAGACCTAAAATCTAAAGTATAAAATAAAAAAGCAACAATAACAAAAAAAAAAGAAAAGCAGAAGCGTACTTAAAAATTAATTTGTGCACATCTTAAAACCAGAGGCATACTGGAGAACAGCTAGGTAACATTAGAACTGAGAATGGATTTTATTATACCTGCCTTTTCAGAAAGGGCAGCTCCAAAAGAGAGATCATGAGAAAAAGAAAACAAGAAATAAACAGAGATATAACTAACATAAATGTCAATGTCTTTTAAGGATTAAAAGCTTTATTACCAAAATTCACTTCTCAGGACTACTGACATCAAGTTACTGTGCTAAATAAATAAATCTAAGTGTAATCAGGTCAAGGGGATGTGACTTGAAGTACGAGGCAAACATCTTGCCTTTCCTCCCCAAAAATGTATTAAACGTAGATGAAATGCATTTATTTTAAAAAAGTTGTGCATCTTAAACGAAGATATGATTTTACCTGAAGTTCTCTGTTAGGAAGCATGGAAATGCACCAGCTAAGCATCCTGCATTTTCCTAACGTGTCCATTTTGCTTAGAGGTTTGGTGGAGGATGGAGATTATTAAACACTCATCAGCTGGAGGCATATACATACATATATGTATAAATATACATATATACATGTGCCTTCAAAGGAAAAAACTATTATCTCCAGAATACACACCAAAAACATCGATAGCATTTGACTGCCTATGAAAAGGGATTTCAGGTTTTTAACTGCTTCAGTGTCCCCAGCGATCCATAATCACTCTCCTTGGCAATTAAGGTTGAAAGAAGTTTGAGACGCACTGCCACAGGGCACTCCTAAATGAAACTGGAATTGTTAACAGTGTCTCTGCAGAAATCAACGGCACCATAAGAAACAGAAAAATGAAATGAAATAATTGATTCATTGGGTGTTAGCTTGCGTACTGGACTGTAAGTAGGAGAGTCCTCACCGTCTCCCCCTCCCATCCACAGGACTTAACACAAGGACTTGAGGACCCCTTAATGGATGAAGTGTTTGACAAAAACTTCTCGACTGGGAGGAGCTCTACTTCACGTCTTTATAACTCGACTTTCTTGTTTCCAAGACGCTGTACACAAAGCTGAAGATAACCATTTAAAACAAAATAACAAGGTAATTTCCAAAACGAAAATATGCCGAAAATAAAAACACAACGAAAGCCCGGCTTGGAATCCTTTGTTCGACTTTCCAATCACTTCTGGAAGACGCAGAGGAGGCTGGAAAAGAAGAAGGCTATGAGGCGGGCCTGCTGCGCAGAACCAGACCCGGCGGGGCACTGCATCAAAGAAAAGGGGTCTCGCTCGCAAGCCCCACCTGTCCTCCCCAGCAGCAGCTAGAGGCCGAGGGGAAGAGGAGGGAGCGGGGAAGGGACGCAAAGTCGAGAATCAAAGGAAGACAAGAAAGTGGGGTCAGGCGCTGAGAAGCCGAAAGGAAACTGGAACATCGGTGGAATTACGAGGAAGGCGTGGCAGAGAGTGGCAAGCCAACCGGGAAGATCCGCGGGCCGACGAGACTCGAGGGGGTTCGCCGGAGGAGGGAAAAAACGAAAGGGGCTTTGAGGTGAAGAGCGGCCGAGGCTTCGATGACAGCTCGGACCGGGTCTTCGACTCGAGGGGCGGGGGCGACCCGGGAGCCTTCCATTGTGCTCGCCCCCTCCTCTCCCCGCCCCCGCCCCCGCCCTCGCGGCTCGGGGCCGCAACCCCAGCTGCCGCCTGCGGCTCCCGTTCGCGGGGGTAGGAGACAATATGCTCAAGCCTCCTCCGACCCTTTCTCACCGGATGAAGATGGCCGTCGCCCGAGCTTCCTCTTCTCCATCTTTTCCTGCTGCTGAAATCTCAGTTGCAGGCGCTGTCACCTCAAGACCCCTCCGGCTTGGAGTAGGGAGGGGGAGGGGAAAGGGAAGGGAAAAAAAAAAAAAAAAAAAAAAAAAAGCCTGCAAACTGCGAAACGCGCCTGCGCTAGAGCTGTCGCCGGCGCCTTGACCGGAAATCAGCCGCTCCTCCCACCTTCAACCGGAAGTCACTTCCTGGGACTTTTCTCTGTGGGTCGCTTCGTCCAGCGTTTTTTTTAGTGGCGTTTATTTCATGATCTGAGCCCCTCTGGGGAAGTGAACCCCCTGGGTGCGCGATTTTAGCTTTGTTGACTTGAAAGATTAGATTGACAAAAATTAAAAGGGGAAAACAGGAACTCCTACCGGTTCGCTGGATCTCGCGAGGTGGCCAAATAACTATGAAAACAAAACGTTAGCGTTTGCAGTATTGCGTTCCTCACAGCCTCTCTTACACATTTGCCGCCAAGGTGATTCCTCTAACTCAGAAACAAAAAGATGTTAAGATGGCAAAGTCACCTAATAATAGCCTAGCTATTCGTTTAGCATTTGGAGCGGAAATAAGTCAGCTGACGAGGAAAAACAGGATTTCTTTTTAAAATTCAAACTCATTTTTAAAGTTCATTAAAAGGTGGAACTTAATTTTTCAATAACTGAAATGCTGAGATGACAAAGTGGGCGTCTATAAACTGGAATTTGTTCAATTAACATTTGTCACGATACTTAAAGGGACTAAGCTAGTCCTCAATGAACTCCACGCCCGGTGCTATTAGCCTGTTTGGCCATAATGGTACATATCTGAATAATTTTTAAATCAACATGTAAGATTTAATGACGATTTAATCACAGGTTTAACAAAATTCAGCACAGTGCAATAAGCAGGGAAAATGTTTCTGGCATGTTCCAAGACCGAAAGTAATCTAGAAATAGGGTTTGATTCCCAAGCCAGCCCTTTTATACCCCTAACTCCTATCCCTCCAACCCCCATCTCCCATCCTAACAGAGTCAGTAAAGGAATCAGTCCAACTCACTTGTCCACTAGAGCAGTCAAGCCTTAATTATAATGTGGTCAGTGTCCAGGTAGAGGTAAGGCCGCAGGTGTTATGGGGTATTGAGCTTGGGGAAGTGTTTTACATGGCAGGAATGACTGCAAGGCAGAAATACTTTATGGCTTGCTGGGATTCAAGTTCAGTAAGGATTTCATTTTGTTGGTTTATTTGGTTAATTTCTGTTTAACAAAAACATTGCTTACTGAAAAATAATTGAATTTTCTGTTTTCTCACAAATCAATTTTTTTAACTAAAGAATTTAACCCAGGGTTTTGATACCAGGTTGGGCAATATAGTGAGACCTCCTTTCTACAAAAAATTTTTAAAACTAGCCAAGCTTGGTGGCGCATGCCTGTAGTCTCTTCTACTCAAGAAGCTGAGGCAGGGAGACCACAAGTGAGTTACTTTTCATTTAGGTTTCTCTTAGGTGATGTGCACTCCGTGCATTAATAAGCTTCTTTGTTTTTCTCTTGTTACAAAGGTTCATCCCAACTAAGAACTAATGAGGATTAAGGAAAAATTTATTTTTCCTCCCCTACACTATCTTATTCTAATCCATTCTTTGGAAAATTAAGCATAATAATAATTCGAGTCTCTCCCTCTTTATTTTTGAATTATGTTGAATTTGCTTGAGAGAGATGGTTTATCTTGATTTGCAAAAGACAGCGTATATAGATAAATTGATGTGTGGGATACTCTCTAAGAATAATTCATAAACCTTTGACATTAATTAAATTTAGAAGTATAGAAGAAGCCTCTATAATTTTTCAAAGCTTTGTGTTCATCTTATGTGTTAATATTTTGCTAGAGAACTTTTTTTTTTTTTTTTTTTTTTTGAGACCGAGTTTCGCTCTTGTTACCCCGGCTGGAGAGCAATGGCGCGATCTCGGCTCACCGCAACCTCCACCTCCTGGGTTCAGGCAATTCTCCTGCCCCAGCCTCCTGAGTCGCTGGGATTACAGGCACGCGCCACCATGCCCAGCTAATTTTTTGTATTTTTAATAGAGTCGGGGTTTCACCATGTTGACCAGGATGGTCTCGATCTCTTGACCTCGTGATCCACCCCCCTCGGCCTCCCACAGTGCTGAGATTACAGGCGTGAGCCACCGCGCCCAGCCCGCTAGAGAACTTTTAAAGTGTGCTTTCTTTGGCAAAAAATTGTAAAATTCTAACAATATTTAAGTGCCTACTGTGCACCAGACAATATTCCAAGAACTAGAGATACAGTAGTGAACAAAACCAAGTCCCTGTTCCTGCTGTCATGGAACTTAACATTCTAATGGAGAGAAGTAGACAATAAGCAAATACATGTCAGTTGGTAATAAGTGCTTAAAAAAAGAAGAAAGAAAGGGAGAGAGTTGCTCTTGCAGATAGACTGCTCACAGAGAATCACTCTGATGAGATAAAGAGTGGGCAGAAACTTTAAAAGCCTTGTCGATATCTATAAAGGGGAAGAATATTCTAGGTTGTGGCCACGGCATAAGTGAATACCCTTAAAACAGGAGCTTGCTCCACAGATTGATGGCAAAGTAGATCAGGTGTGACTACGGTGAAGGAAGCAAGAGCTTGGTAGGAAATGACACCTGAGAAAGAGCTAAGACCCAGATCACATAACTGGATGAGCAAACCAGTGAGAGAGTGGAAGCAAATGACTTTGGAGAGCCAACGACCATGTGAGACCTTGTAGGCCGCAGTAAGAACTTAATTTTTATTCTGAGTGAGAAGGGAGACCATTGAGAACTTTAGTAAGCCTGTGCATCTGGACTGTGAACTTCACAGGTCTCAATTCACCCCAACCCCCTTTAGGTTGAGCAGGATAGCTAGAGTGGGCTGAAGCTGGGTATTTCCCTTCCCTGAAGTCAGTTAGGCTCTGATAAAACCCCAGCAGGTTAGCCTCTGATTAAATAGTTTCTCCTTAGGGCAGACCTTGTTAAGAAGAACAAAAAGCTGACGTATTTCAAAATGGTTCCTTTTCCCCACCCACTGCTAGAAGCACAAATAGTCACCCTGAGGACCTGTGAGAGCTCTAGGAGCCTATAAAAAAATTGGAGAGTGGGAAAGAGGGGATGGCTAAGTCCCTCTGACTTGTCCACTGAGCCTTCAGGTTTACCTACCCTGGTACCGCTTCCATTGGAGGTGTGAGCAGCTAGTTTCTGCTCTGGTAAGTTGTGATTCTCTACATTCACCTGCATTCGATCCTTCCAATTTTGGCAGCGGTAGTATGCCTGGTAACTTTACTTCTTTTATGGATCTTATGAAGAAAAGCTGTTGATTTTTGGTTTGTCTAGCTTTTTACTTGTTGTTAGGACTGAGTAGCAACTTCCAGGATTTTTACATGCCAGTCGGGAAACAAGAAGTCAACAAACATCACCACTGAAAATTTTGAACAGGGTTGTGACATGCCATTAACATTGTTTCACCATGACCTCAATTGTAAAACGTTGTTAGATTTTTGAAGCACAGATTTTTGCCATGCATTGCATCCATTTTCAAGGCTTTTTTATTTAAAGGATGTAAGTCTGTCAGTTATTTACACTTTAGAAAAAGTAAATTAATTACATAATAACATCTGAGAGAGAGTCCGGGCATGGTGACTCACACCTGTAATCCCAGCACTTTGGAAGGCAAAGGCAGGAGGATCACTTGAGCCCAGGAGTTCCAGACCAGCCTAGTCAACATAGTTAGATCCAGTCTCTAAAAAACAATTTTTGTTTTTTTTTAAATTAGCCAGGCATGGTGGCATCAGCCTGTAGTCCTAGCTACTTGGGAGGCTGAGGTAGGAGGATTCCTTGAGATCAGAAGGTCGAGGCTACAGTGAGCTGTGATCACACCATCACACCCCATCCTGGGTGAGAGACTCAGACCCTGTTTCTCAAAAATAACACCTGAGATCAGCAAAAACTGGAGGCATTTTTAATAGAAAAGGAAGGAACAGAGAGCAGTATGGATAGGTGCTTTGGACAACCAAAAACCTTCATAAAGTAGCTGTTGGGTTAGAGGGGTCAGAGAAGAAGATTCACAAAGTGAGAAAGGAGTTAAGAAATCCTGGACCAGCTTATTGAAGGGGGGAAAAATTTAATTTAAAAATTAGAAAGATTTAAGACATCCAAGAAAGCATTTTAATTTTGCCTTAGGCCTAATGGCAACTCAAGTTGCACTGGAAATCATTTTGAGTGCTACTTATTGAAAGTGCGTTGTAGGTTGCCAGTGTCACTGTTAAGAAATTAAGAAGGGAGAGTGTTAACATATTTGTTAAGAATTTGCATTTGAGAGTCAGCCTCATACCCAATCATTCCTTTAATAGTTTTTTAGTTTTAGGGCAAGCCACTTAACCTTTCAAAGCCTGTTTTCCCCTTTAAGCTCTACTTACAGCAACTATATTTCTGAGTTAACTTCTCATCCAGCCTACTTTTTTTTCCTTCTCATACATCAGAATAACCGTTATCTTCTAGTATTCACTGAATCCATCATAATCTCCATAGGCTGATTCACATTTCACTCCCACTTCTATCTTCTGCCATTCAATTAACAGCAAAAGTTATTAAATATCTTCTGTAGAAATAAATGAATGCCAACCAAATGAGAAAAGCCTGTTTATTCTGAACCTGCTGTAGCAAGGGAGTGCACCTCTACCGCTTGTGTTTGGGCAGAGACTCAAGGCAGGCAGAAGAGTGGGAGAGCTTTCTAGTGGGGAAAACAAGAGAAAACTTCACATCTGCCCTGATCACAGGTTGTCATGGGGAAGCTGTGGGTGAGCTAACTAGAAATGGGGACCTCTTGTGTGATTGTTTAGGGGTACATATTTGGCTCTCTCTGGTTGATCCCAAGTTGGAAATAGGGACAAAATTAGGAAAGCTGGCAGTTATTAATGAAGTTCTTGCCATTTGGAGCCAATTGTTATAGAAGTTACTGGTTAGTTTCCTGCCAGTCTTACTTATACCAGACTGACTTCCTGTGTTGTTTATTGTAAATGAGGGGTTGGCTTCCTGGGCTGGTTGGTGCAGGTTGTGTGTTCAAAAAATCCATATTTACATACAGTCTCTCCTTTGTCCCTTCATATATTCTTTCTCTCACTACTCTGTATCACTCACAATTATCTCAAATTAATATCTTTACCATAGTTTGAAGGTCAATGTCTTTCTGACATGCTTGATTTAGCATCATGTGCCATTGGAAGAATTTGGCAGGCTGAAATTTTCACTTTACTTTTTCTAGCACTGATAAACTATTACTCTTTTAACTTTCAGTGGTTACCAATGACAAAGGAGCTGAGCTTCCAAAAATTTATTGAACAATCTGACTTACTAGGAGAACTTAAATATGACTTCAATGAAAAAGCTGAATTCAGACACACCGAGACTCAAAGGCCTTTTGTCTTTAACTATTATGAAAATGGCCTTGAGGAAAATAGCCAGCGCTACCAGGCCCTCGGCCATTTGCTTGAACAATATGTTTATGAGCTTTTGGAGAAAGTGTGCAAATTAGAAAAAGTTTATATCCCACCTGAGGCTGATAAGGAAGAACCAAGAAGCTTTTTTTTCATGAGTGAGAAAGCATTAACAAATCACCATTCTGCTCTTCTTGTCCTTCTTCAAGGCCACGGGGTCTTTCGAGCTGGTCAGTGGAGTCAGCAGGCAATAATACATCATGGTCTCCAACATGGAAGTCAAATACCATGTATTCAAATGGCATTGCAGGCACATTATGATGTAATTGTACTAAACCCCAATGATAATTTTGTGGAACTAAAGATGGAAAAAGAGTGGAACGGCCTTTTAACACAAAATATTGAGTCTTCTTCTCTAAAAATGGTTCAAGGTGGGAGCTTTTTCTCTCTCCAGCATCCTCCCGAATGTATTCCAAAAAGATGCAGCAACACCCCCGAAGAACACATGGCTTACATATGGGATTACTTCATTTCGAAGACTGAAGGCAAGGATATTGCCTTCATTGTACATGGTTATGGAGGCTTGGTTTTTATGGACTTGCTTGTTCGTAGACGGTGGGAAGTGATGAGCAAAGTATATGCTGTTGCGCTTATTGACTCTGAACATCATGTAGGACACCAGCTGGGAAGTGATGTACAGCTACTAGCATGGATAAAGCACCACTGCCGTGAATGGGTGACAAGTCCTAAGCCTTTGGATAAACCTGCAGCTGCTGTTTTCAAAAGGGAATTTCCTATGGTTTCTGCTGGTACAGAAAAGTACAGCTTAGCCCCTTCCTCTAGCCTTCAGTCAATTTTTAAGTACTTTAAGAAAGCTTTAAAAGCCAAAACAACCATTAATTTCTCTCGAATGCCAATAGCGACTAGAAGTTCCACAAAAAGAAAGCAAAGTGCTTAAACTACTTTTGCCATCTACGTTTGTTTTTTGTTGTTGTTGTTGTTGGTTCTCCTGCAACTTTGCTAATACAGATTCTGGAAATAAAAAAAAAAAAACACTTTCAACTCACACACAATATGATGTCCTGGCTTGAGGTTTGATTTGTTACTTTTTGTTACCTCTGTTTTTATGAGGCAGGGTCTGACTTTGCTGCCCAGGGTGGTCTGGAAATCTGGCCTCAAGTGAACCTCCCACTTCAGCCTCCCAAAGTGTGGGGATTATAGGCTTTAGCCACTGCACATGGCCAGGTTTGTTGCTTTATTTTCTTTTTCTTTTTTTTTTTTTTGAGGAGGGGTCTCACTCTATCACCCACGTTGGAATGCAGTGGCACAATCTCAGCTTACTGCAACCTCTGCCTCCTGGGTTTAAACAATTCTCCTGCCTCACCTTCCCAAGTAGCTGGGATTACAGGCGCACACTACCACGTCCGGTAATTTTGGTATTTTTAGTAGAGAGGGGGTTTCACCATGTTGGCCAGGCTGGTCTAGAATGCCTGACCTCAGATGATCCACCCGCCTCAGCCTCCCAAAGTGCTGGGATTACTGGTGTGAGCTGCTGCACCTGGCCATTTTGTTGTTTTTTTGAAAAGTGAACATATTCTCTTTTGTAGCCTATTGATGAAGTGGGAATGTAGTGCCATCATTAATGTTTTGCAGTATTTGTTAAGTGTGAAGATCTTTCTTTTAACAAATTATGGTTTAATATAATGACAACAAAATGGCAATTGATAAAAAATATTGTCAATCTTTGATTTCTATACCATAATAAAATTACAAGTGAACGTAAAAATTAAACATCATGAACAAACTACATTCTTTGTATATGTTTTTTGTTAAAATGTGTTGTACTTCCTGTTCACCAGGTCAGAAGAAAAAAATTTAATTTCTTGGTCTTGTGTGTGTATTCACTCATATCTTCAACTAATATCGGAGTGTTTACTATGTGCCAGTCAAGACTCGGTGTTTGGGACACAGTAGAAACAGCACCAACATTGCCTTCCTCTTTACAGAGTTTACAATGGCCGAGAAATTACAAATGTGAAGAGTGTTAAAAAGTAAAGGAAGCCGGGCGCAGTGGCTCACACCTATAATCCTAGCACTATGTGAGGCTGAGGTGGGTAGATCACTTGAGGTCAGGAGTTCAAGACCAGCCTGGCCAACATGGTGAAACCCCATCTCTACTAAAAATACAAAAATTAGCAAAGCATGGTAGCTAGCACTTGTAATCTCAGCTACTTGGAGCCTGAGGCAGAAGAATCACTTGAATCCGGGAGGCTGAGGTTGCAGTGACCGAGATCGTGCCACTCCACTCCAGCCTGGGCGACAAGAAAGAAACTCTGTCTCAAAAACAGAAAAAAAAAGGGTGCCATGGAATATCTAGCATGAGAGCTAACCAGCCTTGGGGTTCAGGGAATATTTCCCTAAGAAAACGTTGCTTAGTTTGAAGAGCAATAGTAGTTGTCTATGAGAACAAAGGCACAGGCAAATGAACAGCCGATGCAAAGGCATTCAGGCACAAGAAGGCTAGCTCAGCTACAGCTAAAAGATTGAGAAGGAATCATGTGTTCGGAAACAAATTATTTATGACATTTATTGATATAATTTGGATTTGGGTATTTGTCCCCCCCCCACATCTCATGTTGAATTGTAATCCGCAATGCTGGATGTGAGGCCCAGTAGTGTTTGGGTCATGGGGGTAGATCCCTCATGGCTTGGTGCTGTCTTCACAGTAGTGAGTTCTGGTGAGATCGGGTCATTTGAAACTGTGTGACACATCCCCCACCCTCTCTCTCTTGTTCCTGCTCTGCCATGTGAGATTCCTGCTCCCCTCACCTTCTGCCATGAGTAAAACTCCCTGAGGCCTTCCCAGAAACCAAGCAGATACCAGTTCCAAGTTGCCTGTATAGCCTGCAAAACCATGAACCATGAACCAATTAAACCCCTTTCCTTTTTTTTTTTTAAAGACAGGGTTTCACCATGTTGGTCACGCTGGTCTTGAACTCCCAACCTCAGGTGATCCGCCCACCTTGGCCTCCAAAGTGCTTGGATTACAGGCATGAGCCACCACACCCAGCCCCCATTTCTTTATAAATTACCCAGTCTCAGGTATTTATAGCAATGCAAGAACACCCTAACACAGAAAATCGGTACCAAGGGGAAAGGTGTTGCTATAAAGATACCTGAAAATGTGGAAACAGCTTTGGAATTGGGTAATGGGCAAAGGTTGAAACACTTTGGAGGGCACAGAAGAAGACAAGAAAATGAGGGAAATCTTGTCATTTCATAGAGAGTGGTTAAATGCTGATAGTGATATGGACAGTGAAAACCAGGTTGACGAGGTCTTAGATGGAAATGTGGAACTTACGGACTGGAGCAAAGTTCACACATGTTATGCCTTAGCAAAGAACTTGGATGCTTTGTGCTACTGCCCTAGGTTCTGTGGAAGTTTGAATGTGAGAGTGATGATTTAGGTATCTGGCAGAAAAAATTTCTACACAGCAAAGCATTCAAGATGTGGCCTGGCAGCAGGGAGCGGTGGCTCATGCCTATAATCCCAGCACTTTGGGAGTTGAGGTGGGTGGGTTGCCTGAGGTCAGGAGTTCCAGACCAGCCTGACCAACACAGTGAAACCCCGTCTATACCAAAAATACAAAAAGTTAGCTGGGTGTGGTGGCAGGCACCTGTAATCCCAGCTACACAGGAGGCTGAGGCAGGAGAATCGCTTGAACCCGGGAGACGGAGGTTGCAGTGAGCCAAGATCACCCCATTACACTCCAGCTTGGGCAACAAGAGCAAGACTCCATGTTGACAAAAAAAAAAAAAAAAAAAAGGCCGGGCACGGTGGCTCACGCCTGTAATCCCAACACTTTGGGAGGCCGAGGCGGGTGGATCACGAGGTCAAGAAATCGAGACCATCCTGGTCAACATGGTGAAACCCCATCTCTACTAAAAATACAAAAAATCAGCTGGGCATGGTGGCGCGTGCCTGTAATCCCAGCTACTCAGGAGGCTGAGGCAGGAGAATTGCCTGAACCCAGGAGGCGGAGGTTGCGGTGAGCCGAGATCGCGCCATTGCACTCCAGCCGGGGTAACAAGAGTGAAACTCCGTCTCAAAAAAAAAAAACCGATGTGGCCTGGCTACTCCTAACAGCCTACATTCAAAAGTGGGAGCAAAGAAATAACTCAAATTTAGAATTTATATTTAAGCAGGAAGCAGAGCGTAAATGTTTGGAAAATCGTTAACCTGCCCATGTGGTAGAGAAAGAAAAGGCTTTTTCAGGAGAGGAATTCCGGTGAGCTGTGGAGTAACCATTTGCTAGAGATATTTGCATAACCTAAAGGGAACTAAGTGCTAATATGCAAGACAGTGGGGGAAAGTCCTTGAGGACATTTCAGAGGCATTTGAGGCAGCCCGTCCCATTACAGGCACAGAGGCATAGGAAGAAAGAATGGGGTGAGATCCCTGTGCAGCCTCGGACACTGCTTCCCACATCCCACCTACTCAAGCTCTAGCCAGGACTCAAAGGGGCCCAGGTAAAGCTCAGGCCACAGCTCCAGAGGGTGCAGGCCATAAGTGTTGGTGGCTTCTACATGATGTTAAGCCTGTAGGTGCACAGAGTGCAAGAGTTGAGGCTTGGCAACCTCTGCCTGGATTTCAGAGAATATATGAAAATGCCTGGGTGGCTAGGCATGGTGGCTCACACCTGTAATCCTAGTACTTTGGGAAGCCAAGGTAGGTGGATCACTTGAGCCTAGGAGTTCAAGACCAGCCTGGTCAACATGGCAAAAACCCATCTCTACAAACAATACAAAAATTAACCAGGCATGGTAGCACACACCTGTAGTCCCAGCCACTGAGGAGGCGAGATGGGAAGATTGCCTGAACCTGGGAGTTTGAGGCCACAGTGAACCATGATCATGCCACTGCACTCCAGCTTGGGCAACAAAGTGAGGCCCTGTCTCAAAACATGAGTGTCCAGGCAGAAGCCTACTGTAGGGGCAGAGCCCTCACAGAGAACCTAAGGAAATCCTAAGACCTCTGACATCACCATGTGATGATTTTTTGCTTTCTTGTGGAAAATAGTTGGAGATCATTGATCAATTAATTGTTGTGCTTAAACAAGGCACACCAAAATTGGTGTGTCACTTTCCAATACTAGACTAAATATAGCTCAACAAAAAAAGAAGAATATGGTATTGAAGCAGCTGCATTGTCTGGGACATCACCTGAGGTTCTTTGTCTCATAGCCATGAAAATCAAGGACACAGACACACAAAGGATGAGGTTAGAGCAGAAGTTTAACAGGTGAAAGGAAAAGAACAGCTCTCTGTCACAGAGAGGATCCCAAATGGGTTGCTATGTTGCGGTAAAATGTAAGCGTGCTGCAGTAAAATGTGACGGTTTTTATAAATGAGCTAGCAGGGAGGGGGTATCTTATCTACGTAGGGCATGAAAACCAATTAGAACCATGTGTGCCATCTGCATAGAGCAGAGTCTCTGGCAACCCCCACCCCACTTCCTAATCATGCAGGTGGGCTCTTAGCTTGGGCTACTCCCCATTGCTTATCTCCTTCCATCATGCATGTGCTAAAAAGGGGAGAGGGAGTTTCTGTGCCTGGTCCCAGGTACCTCCTTACAACTGCAGACTTCCCCTACTCCCAACCCTATACAAGCTTCCAGCTTCCATATGTTAGTGTGCCAAAAAAAAGGGAAAGCAGTGTGCTTGTTAAGGCCCACTGTCTTTACTGGGACGCTTTACTGTCTTTACTGCTGATGCTGCTGGTCCGAGGACCACATTTCATGACCACTGTTAGAATAAGAATGGGCTGGGCATGGTGGCTCATGCCTGTAATCCTAACACTTTGGGAGGCCAAGGCAGGCAGATCACTTGTGATCAGGAATTAGAGACCCTCCTGGCCAACGTGGTGACATCCCTTCTTTACTAAAAATACAAAAAGTAGCTGGAAATCGCTTGAACCCAGGAGACAGAGGTTGCAGTAAGCTGAGATCATACCACTGCACTCTATCCTGGGCAACAGAGTGAGACTCCACCTCAAAAAAAGAGAAAAAGGGTAACAATGACTTGTAAAGGAAAATAAAAGTCTCAGGAGGCCCAAACTCATGCCAAGGGGAGAGTTGAGCCTGGGAACTGAGTCATGCAACATTGTTACCCTTTTTCCCACAAACAGGTAACTGTTACTTTGCAACCTTGT